TTTTTTTGGAGTAATGACAATATTTTAATAAATGAGTGATATACATATCGTCGTTTAATCTACAAAACTGCGCATCAAGAAAAGGCAAAACCTCGTATGTGACGTTGGCAAGATTTTGTGGGAGAGAGTAAAGCTAGACCAATTTCAAACCGGTTCTGTCTTTTATCCCTAATTATCTCTTCTTACGTCTAAGTATAGATATTTAAGTATAAATGGATAAGGGCTTGATGCCAAGAGCTTCCGGTGACAAAAATATCTTTTTTGACACAAATGTCAGTTACGACGATACGCGGTTTTGTACTTTAAACGACGATATGTATGTGTATACATATCAAAATGCTCAGGACAAAAAGATAAATCTATTGACTGTGTCCGTCCGTACACCATAACTCCGTAAAAAGTTCCGATACCCAATATAAAATGTTAGAAAATGGACGGTTCGCCGCCCACTTTTGGTAAAATGTGCATACCTCAGTATCCGTTAAACCGGATTATCAAAAACTTGACACACATATTTCTTTAGGTGTTACTATGCAGACAATTAAAAATTTTGGTAATCGGACGCAGGCCATGCTTACCATCCGTATAATGGTAGTTTTCGAAAATGCAACCTACTAAAAAAAATTTTCCCAAAATTAAAATTTGAAACTATGCGTTGAAAATAAAATACACTTTTTACAAAATGTTGGAAAATGAGCGTGGCTTTGCTCACGGTATATAAAATCAGTAACTGCATCCTCCAAATTTTGTTACACATTTCTTTTGGCGTTACATTTTGGAAAGTTTCGAAATTGCACTCATCAGAAAAACTTAAATAAAAATGCATTTTTATTAAAACATGCTTTAACACTACATATACAAAAACGACTTACGAGAAATTTAGTACGTAAATCAAATAGATTAAAGCTGAAAATGTGCACAATCCCAGCAAACACAGTCTCTAACGTTAGAGAAACATTTGGGTTTACATTCGAATTCTAATCCAGTTCTCTAGTATTTCTCGAAGGTCAGAGAATTATGTTAAAATTCGATTAGAGAATGATTAGAAAAACATTAGAATAAGAAACAAATTAGAATTCAAGGTTAGAATACGATTAGATATCTAACTTTTTCTCGATATTGATAACTAAGTCCCATTTTTGAAGAGAATTCTATAATTATCGACAGTTTATCTAATCGACTTCTAACCCTCTACCTTAGAGAAACACATTAGAATTCGAATAGGTTTATAACCGTTCTCTAACCTAAATGTTTTTCGGGATATTTTCGCGGCAAGCGTGCGATTAACATATTTTCAATTTGGAATGCAAGCGTTTGACTTTTTAATTAACTAAATTATAAGATCTAAATCGAAAAAAATATATTGTATTGAACTATGATGTCCAATGTAAAACAAATAAAAGCCATAGTTTTGCCTAATCGTTGATTGCACGAAATGAGCTGTGCCACATTTATACAGACATGGAATTCAAATAAATATGTGGCATTCAAAGCTGCACATAATTTGGTGAACTATCATGTTAACTCTTATCCGATGGGTAAAAAATTTCTTGAACCGTAAATATGTTTTAAATCATAACTTTTCATAGAATTTATGGCAAAATAATTTTTGAAAATATATTAAACAGCTAAATTTGTTTATTCTAAGAGAATACTGGTACAGACCCATCAACCAATTTATTAACATTGGCTCTGCGAATGTTATTTGCAACTTACAATAACATGAGAATACGTGTTTTTAAAACCTTCTGGTACTTTTTCTCAATAGTAAAGAATACAGTCGTTGGCGTGCAATACTTCGTATACGCCATACGTATGTATGCGATGATAACAAATCTATCTTTTTTATATGCTGTATATTGGGCTTATACATTTGCATGCACTGCAGAGCTTCCCGAACCGCCGGTAATATTTGCTGTAACTGGGGCTGAAATGGTCGAGCTAGCTCGTGTTCCTAGCTGCGATTGCTGTTGTATGTTGCTTATAACGGATGTCTCAGTTAATGGTAGTGCTTCAACTTTCATTCGCAATTCTTGTTTTCGTGTCTGTACTGACAGCAATTCATCACTTAGATCATTACACAAACGTAACAAAAGGTTATTTTGCTCACGCAGATGTTGCAGTATATCACCCATACTGTTATTCTGCTTAAATGTTACATGTCTTAACGTCTCGCTAATGTCATTTACCCGTTTTTCGAATAGATCAGCATTAGGTAATGCAACCAATTGTGGAGGAAGTGCTATTGCGCTAGCCCCGAGAGCTCCAAATGGCGTAGGCATGGATGGTGGCGGTTGTATGGGTTGAGTTGCATAATTGCGCTGTGTCTGACAACGAGGTTGCTTTTGCAATTCAGAATCTTTTGCTGTGGGTGATAACGAATTGTGTGGCGTGTTTGGCTTTCGATACACCTCAAATGCCGAAACACGCTGATTTGTTTGTTGTAAGGAGTATCGTGTTGGTGGCATAACAGCCATTGCTGTAGCCGTTGGTGCCCTAGCCGTCGATTTTCCTGGCGGTAAGGAATACTGTTGTTCCGAAGATATGTTTTTCTATCAAATAAGGAAAAATTTAAATTGGAAAAATTATTAGGGATAACACATTTTAATACCGCATCAACGACCGCAAAATGAGTAAAATCAGCAAAACCAGTAGAAGTCTGGAAGTCGAAACTTGCTTGTGCTGTCATCTGGAGTGAAAATAGTTTGATAAATATGTACATATAGTCAAATATTGATATACATGACGTATGAGATGTGATAATTAAAATTATATTCAGCCTTATCACGAGTTTCATTTTCCCCTGAACCGGTTCACTTTTCACTTTTGGTTTCCATGGTTTTACTATGGGCGGATGACAAATTTTCGGGTGCATTTTTTTCAGGCGAAACTCAGGATAAGGCAGATTATAAATACGTTGAAAGAAGTAAGATATGTTAACTATAAAAAGTTTAAACACCGTGCATACCTCGGGTTGTTGGTTAACAGGTCCGCATGCTTTAAATTTATTTAAATCCAAACTGCTACTCCGACCATGTCGGTGTGGCCTTGGAGGTGGCAACGGCGGTGGATCATTTTTATTTTGTAATGTCTGCTGGTGTTGACTGCTATTACTCACTTCATTGCTGTCTCCACTAACAGTGGGATTCATTGCACTTGAGTAAGAAGTATTTGAGATTCCTGAAGCACTTCCTGTATTACCTACGCTGGATTCCCTTTGTGGTGGTGGCGGCAAAGCTCCAATATTTTTTGCTGGTAACTTTTTTGCTTGTGGACGTTGTATTGCTCTTAAATCGTTATTCTGAAGGAGCTCTCGATTATGCATTATCACATTTGCGGTGCTGATATTATTATTGGAACCTGCGGTCATTATATTAGAAGAGCTTTGTGAAACTTGCTTGGAGCTTCCATCTTGTTGTTGTTGATTAGATAAATCGCTTGTATCTTGGTTGACAGTTTCTGCAGCAATTACTGAACTCGCAAGGCCTGAACCTATTTAAAAGGATATTTAATCATTTTTATTACTTTACAACAATATTTAACTTGCCAACGGGGGTAACACGTAACGCCACAGGATGTAAGATTTGAGGGTCTGATACCACCGCTTGTGCTGTTCGTTGCATATCAAAATTTACTGGTTTCGGACCGGGACTAGAGACATTAGATGTAGGGGATTCCGTGAACTTAGTCCACTGTGTAGGTGGTAAGTCCTAGTCGTGATTAAATTAAAATAAAATTAAAATAGAATAAGTGAACATTTTTACCACAGGGCCCCATAAATTTATATCTTTTACTTTAGATAAAGTAGTAGTAGCAACTGCCAAATTAGGAGTTGTATCATTGGGTTCAGCTACTGGTGAATTCGATATACTACGATGCTTTGTTAGAGTTGGCAAGGAAGAAGATGTTAATGAGCCATGATTCCCCTGTCTGGAACCTGCACTCGTCTATTTATAGAGGAGAGTTTAACAATAAAAAATAATATACATATTACATACATACATATATTATTATTTTTCGTACCTGTGACGATGACGACAGAGTGCTTATATTCATAGCGTTTTTGTCATTGACGCGAGTCTGAGTTGTAGTATTTGTAACAATGACCGTGTTATCAGTTTTTTCTTCTTCATCATCATCATTTAAATGCAACAAATCCGCTTCCGGGGGCTCTTGAAGGAGTAAGTTTGCAGTCGCGTTCTGTGAACTATGCAGCAAGATATTCGGATGCAAGCAGGATGGTAGCACTGCTGGTAAAGGTATATTATTTCGTCTCAACACAACCAAATGCATTGCAGCAGTAAATTCAGCTAAGCTCAATGCTCCATCACGAGTTACGTCGCACAGTTGCCAAATGTGGCGTAACTCTTCTACCGGAATTCTAGATTTCTCGAAAAATATTCTGCACAGGATAATGTGAAAATGATTTTTTTAATTGATTTTTTATTAATACTTAAAAGCCTTTACCTAGCAATTTGACCAGAGAGCAATCCGTTATTATCGTGTTGTACAGCTTTGAATTGTTTATAGTAATAATCACGTTGTTCAGGCGTAATTTGGTATACGCTATTCAAGTCAGCGTCGTTTTCATCCTCACTACTATGACGATCAGATGATTCTTCTTCTGTGCCCAGAAGCTGCCGATGCTCATCTCCTAACAAGCCCTGCCATAATGTTTCTTTGGCCCACTGGCGTTCTGCAACACTGTTTGTTGGGGTGGGACTATCGCTGTTGGTACTCCATGCTTCTGGTGAACCACGGTGACGGTGCTGCCATAAAAATTTGGAAAGCCCAACATGGATATTAAATTAAAAGCAAGTAATTTCGATTAACACTTATGTTATGACTATTTTATATATCATATAACAAGGTGATCAATGTTTAAAAATCAAAGGACTCAGAAGTTGGGCAGCATTTTGTTCAGTAAAATGCTGCGGTAAACTCCGACGGGACGAAATGTGCTCTTTTACATTCATTCCCTGAGTCAGCCTTTTCGCGAATTCCATGTGAATAAATTATTTCCATAATATAAGCAACACAAAAACAAATTCATAAAAATAGTTTTTGTTTTGCTTTATAATTAATGAGAGTATTTGTTTACATAAAATTCGCGACAAATTACCTAATTTTTCATTGAATTAAAGGTACATCCACGCATTTGATATTGGCGAGTTCAAAGCTTCTATATTCTATTACATAAATAAACATTTCCAACGGCAATAGAAGTATGCATACATTTTGTAATTTTAGCTGTCGAAAATTTATGCTAAAGAGAGCAATTAAAAAAACGACAACTTTATCTCTTTCTCAAAATGCTTTTCGTTACGGTGCTCCAAAAGTACACGTGAAAAAGTAAAGTCGGAATTTTTATGCTCTCACCCCCTAGGATTGTTCTATACCGAAAAAAATTTTCCCCTATTTTTTTATTTTAAAATTAAAAAATATTTAGAGGTCGCTCAAAGCGCCCAAAGTTCTCCATGTATTTTGTATGGAGAAAAAACAAATTTTCGTAGAAATGGTATAGAATTCTTAAAATTCAATATTTTTCTATCGGATAGCTCTGTGTCTCTGCAACAGATTCCCAATAATAATACTCAGTTGTTTATTTAACCATTTTTTCATAGCAACTATAATTTATAGGTCCGCCAAAAACCCACAAAAACCTTAAAAATTCGATGGGAGACCAATAAAAAATCGTTAGTATTATAAAATGGTTAAATAAACAATTAGGTATTATTGAAAGTCTTCTGAAGATAACTAGAGTTTTCCGATCGGAAAATATTGATTTTCAAGAATTCCATACCATTTACACGAAAAGTTTTTTTTTCATATAAAAATACATGGAAAACTTTGAGCGCTTTGAGCGACCTCTGAATATTTTTTGATTTCAAAATAAATAAAAAAAGGGGTATACTTTTTTCGATATAGAACATACCTAGGGGGTGAGAGCATTACAAAAAAAATTATTTGGACTTAAACGGACGACAACATTATTGAATGGTAGCTTTCTAATACGACTATTTGTTTTTTGCATACCTTATTTTCTAAAGGTAAATGGCGCTTACGATAATTTTCCTTAACATGCTGAGAGGAAAGTTGTCAAAGAATTGGCGCTTGCGATAGTTTTTATATTGTATAATCTGGGCATTTATAAACGAAGGAGTGTGGGTACTTTAAGGATTGTTTGAAAAAAACTGAATTTTAAGTAAATTAAATATAAACACTGCCTATCAGCAGAGTAAGCACAATATAATTTAAACTTTCTTCGTAGATGCAATGTTAAAGCTCATGCAATTCTCTATTAAAATAAAACTACCACATTGGCGCTATTATTTTAAATTTTTTGACGTTTTTTAAAAGAATGCAAAAAAGAAAAATTTAATTCTTGACGAGCATAGGTTCAGTGCCAAAATCTTCATATTAAGGAGATTTTCGGCAAGTTTCGAATCTCGACTCGTCGTGTGTATTAAACCTAGTTATTGGGAAAAAAATTGCTAAACGAAAACTTCTCACCTAGAGATTAAAATCAAAGACTGCAATTTTATAAAAAAAAAAAGGCTGAAGTGCGAGAGTTATAACCAGAATCCATATGGCCGTATAAGCTGGTGTTAAGATGGAAATTTCGAATTCACTTGCAATTTTTTCTATACCAGAGCATACACTAGGAATATACGCCCCGTTAGGTGTCTGGTTTTGATCTTTCTGATATGCTTTTAAATCTTATAACCCATTGGCAAAGCATGCTGCACTCAGTGATTGCAGCTGTAATTGCATAATGGCAGATTGCACATAATTCTTATGCGAAAAAAGCTGAATTTGAAGCATTCAGTTGTAGCCAATGCCGATGGAACTTTCGTTAAAACTACAGTTCAAACTGCTATTTACAATAAAGTTATATACACACAGTGTCGCTTACGATAAAATTTTAGGACCACATAAGTGTAAACAAAGCAAAAGATAAAATTCATTTTGCTTTTTTCCGTAACGGTACATAGTTCAAGTCTGTGGTTTTGTAGGATGTTGTAGCCAAGGTGTTGAATACATTTTGGTTGTAACTCCTATTTGTAACCTATTTGCAACAAAAAGATTGTTTTCTTTATGTTGTCGCTTACGATAAAATCACAATTAGGGGTCGATGTATACACATGTAAATATTTAGTTTTCTTATGAGATTTAAAGAGCCATTTTGTTTAGAACAAAAAAATTTTGGTAGCGGTGATGAAATATGCTTTATATTGCTTACTGTTTCACGCCCGCTACTGCCACTGTCAACAACATGACCTGCACCATCACCACAGCTTGACTCATTTTGATCAACTTCTGAATCCGTAGTTGGAATGTCTGAATTTATTTCAGAATCAGGTTGTTTTTGGAAATGTTGAAAGCTTCCAGAATTCTGTCGGGAGCTGCTTCCAGAGGTGCCCATCTTCCAATCATTTAATCCGTGAGGTAAAGAAGTTTTTCGTTCAGCTACTGGTGGAGGCGGCATTGCTTTTGATCCATTTACGGAAGGGTAAGCTGTGGAAATACTTGCTGCTGTGTTTGGACCCATGCCGCTTGGCGAATCTCTCCAGCTGAATCGAGGCAAAGGCAATGATACAGATGAAGTAATGACCTCTTGCCGAAGTTGCATTCCAGCCTGGTAAGCAGCAATGAGCTTTAAACATGAATAAAACTGTCCACGTGAAATGTGCAGTGAAGTAGTAGGTATGCCGGCAAGAGCAATAATCTTAAATTTTAAATGATATACTTTTTTTAAAATGATAAACAAACTTTACTGAATGTTAAACAACCTCCATTACTATGTCACTTTGAATATTTGCTGAATGGTATAATTCCATCGCCTTCATCATGGGTATTTTACCAGCTTTTTCCACGTCACAACATAAAAACAAGTCGCCAAAATAACGCGACTCGGTTTCATTGAGGTACACCTCCATTGATGGACTCTCGATTATGTTACTTGTTGCTGTCGGTGCGTAATTGCTGTAAAAGTACCAAAGGTGAAACTATTTTATATCTCCAACTCTCTAAATACACACAAATATGTCACCACCCACCTACGGCACGAAGCCTAATTCCAAAATCCTTTTGCAAGTATATGTCTCGTGTTCGCCCCAACTGAGTGCGTTGCAGCTGCCTGGCTTAGTTTAACTAAGAAAATATCTCTGTTGAAAGATTTGTCTGTGTTTTATATATCTTCACGACAAATCTGTAAGATTGGTAAAATAAAACACCTTTTTTTGTAGCGAATTATGCGAACTTTACGATCCTTGTATTCATCAACGTTTTCTCACGACAAATTGTCACTACACTATAGTTTTACAGGCAATGAATTTTCTTTGTTGTATAAATGTTGCCACTGAACAGAAAAGTTACATTTTAATTTAAACCAAAGAACGTAAATGTACAAAGACCGTAAATGCAAAGAACGTAAATGTAAAACGTTCTTTGTCAGGAAGAATGGCAAGCTTTAGAGATATCGTTATCTACGTCCTTTGGTCAAGGTACCGTATCTGAAATTCAACAAGTTATAAACGCAGATAAAAAAGGAAAACTGCGGGCAGAATTAGTTAATAATAGTAATTAGACTGTGTTTATACACGGAAACATTTGTCGACGCGATTTTTCACATTCCCTTTTGGTATTGCTTGTTTAATTTACACACGGCGATTTGTGTGTATGCAATTGTTGTTGTCAGCTGTGAACAGCGGACAAACGAGAGCACAAGGCGTGTTGCCCGAGCACGAGCAACTCAGTGCCCCTCTCCTTTCCTCGACCGCTCTCTCCAACAAACATCGAGTTGCGGCAACAAAAATCGCCGTGTGTAAATGAGCACATATGTAAAAATTAATAAAAAACAAAGTATATAATTTTAAACCAAACATTTTATTAACGTGTAATTTTAGTAAGCCCACATAATATGTTATATTTTATAAAATTGCAGTACTTATAAAAAAACATTTTCAGTTTTATTAATTTAATTAGTGAAAATGTGTGATGTACAATAAAAATTAATAAATAAAACGTGAAGAAACGGCTGTTTTAATTAATTTAATATATTTTAGTGCAAACTTTGTATGCGGATACCGATAAATGTGCATGAAAAGACAGCTAGTATGCGGATTCGGATCTCTGCCGACGTAAACATGGCTATAATTGCGACAGAATTGCATTGCCTACAGTTTATCGAGATTATTTGCTATTATTTTAGGTGAATTTGCAACGCGCGAGACGGTATGCAGTTTAGTAGTATATTAAATTCTAGTTTAATGTGGAGCAAATTTGAACTACACTGCCGGAACAAAGTACTGGCACAGCAAATTTTTTACAATATATGCAACAATTTTCATTCTACTATTTTTACGCTAATTTCGTATAAAAATATGGTTTATTCTACAACCAAAAAAGTAAAAAAAATATAATTCCTGGACTTTGTGCAAAACTCGCGAAAACTCAGCAAATTTTCATCAAAATTTTCAAACTTTTTAATCAGATTTTTTAGAATTTTTTTGAGTATGCAGTTTGTGCAAGCTCAGAGTTAGTAAAAAAATTGCGTTGATTTTTGAGAATTTTTTTTGTTGAAGGTGTTTTGCATTTTTTTTCATATAAAGTATTTTTGAAAAAAAAATTTTTGTATGGAAAAGACTGCGTGAAAAAAATGCCAAAATTCAACGGTAATTCCTAGCTACTTAAAACTTGCACTTTATTATAAAAAACTTGATTGGGCTGCAAAACTACATACTCAAAAAAATTCAAAAAAATCTGTTTAAAAAGTTGAAAATTTTGATGAAAATTTGCTGAGTTTTCGCGAGTTTTGCACAAAGTTCAGGAATTATATTTTTATGTTTTTTGTTGTAAAATAAACCATATTTTTATACGAAACTAGCGTAAAAATATTAGAATGAAAATTGTTGCATATATTGTAAAAAATTTGCTGTGCCAATGCTTTGTTCCGGCAGTGTAGCGAGGACTTACTGCTGATTTTTGGCACTTTTTAAAGACGGTGTTACGAATTTTTGCCATACAAAGTTTGTTCGACAAGTTTTTTTATATGTAAAATATGCGAAACACCGTCAACAAAAAAAATGGCAAAAATCATCGATAAACGCTACTTACTTGTTATACTAAAACTTTAAATTTCTAAAGATGCTGATTAAAAAGTTACAACTTTAGTGAAAACTTGCAGAATTTCCATAATTAGCCTTATCATGAGTTTAATTTTCCCCGAACCGGTTCACTTTTTAACCGACTTCCAAAAAAGGTCGTCGGAATATTTTTTTTTTTTTTTTTATGTATGTTACCGCATAACTTTGGACCACATCAACCGATTTCGATAATTCTGCATCGGAAAGGTAGTGTCTCAGAGGTGGTCCCATACTAATCTGGTTGAGATTCGATCAGTGGATCATGAGATATATATATATATATATATTTTTTATATGGGAGTTGAAGTCGGTTTTTTTTTGCTAAAAATTACTAGTCACTTTTGCTTTCCATTTATTTACTATGGTCTGCATTTGAACGGTATTTTTTAAGTAATCTGCTATATTTGCATAAAAAAGAATAAACATTAAGTTAACTAAAAAAATAGCCAAAACTTGCTAAAATGTCGCGTCCCAGTTTATATGTATATGGGTCTCTGTGTATTCGCTTAAATACAAATCATTGAAATCGGCCCAGTATTTGAAGACTTTTCGGACGAGAAAAAATTGTCTTTCAGTTGTATATATGTATGTAACACTGACGATATAAAAAATTGTGTCCGAGATAAGGCTAACCTATTCTAATAGATTTTGTAAAAACGGAAACTTATGTATATAAATTTTAAGAAAATATTGCAAATAGCAAAATCGCCTAAAAACGGCTAATTTTTTTTTGGCAAAGCGGCTTATAAATCGGCTGCTGGCTAAACCGAATTTTTTTGGGCTGTTTGCTTTCGCAACCGGCTAAATATAGCTGCAAAATGGCTAAAATAGTAACACTGGTCAAAAGCATTGCAATTATATCATCCGCGTCTTTGCTATCCATCTGTCCATCTGTACGCCGCCTAAACGGAAATAGTTTCAACATAAAGTTTTCTTAAAACACGTTTATTTAGTTTGTGTATAAACTGGACAACTAAAACAGGTGGAAACCCTCTTTAAAATTATTTTCGAACTGAAATCTTTTTGATCTCTTTCGACTGGCATTGTCATACATAAGCATGTTTTTCTATTCACTGATGAAGTATAATAATAACAATTTTAAACACGTGGCAACTCTACTAAATAGAGTTCAGATATAACACCTTTTCCAACTCATTTCAATTGAAATCCATCTTTTGATAAGTAATTCATTTAACTCACTATATTATTTCAATTTAACCTTTACAACAGATGACAGCCCTTTTAAACACCTCAAGAATATCTAAATGTCCGAAATAAGGATTTTATAACACTTTCATTTGACGTCCATATTTTATAGTTGCCTATTGTTTTAACCCATATTGTGAGACATATCTCAATTATCTAATTTAATTCAAGTTGCCTTTGATTTTGTGAATAGGTGCCAACCTCCGTACATTTAGTGAAGAAAAAAAAAACAAACATTTTCAAGCCTATTTCGATTGGTAGCCATCTAAAATTATTGGTTTAACTTTTCAAATAATTTCAACTTATTCTTTTTAAAAAGGGCAACTCTTTTCAAAAACTACAACTTTATTGCACACAAAATGTATTTAACAAACTGTGATTGAATTTGACATTGCTCTCAGAAGAACCATCCTATAAAGTCAAATTGATAAAAAATTGTTTGAATTTGGAATCGTTTGTTTACATTTTTTGGCATAATAGTACCCTATAAGAGAGCCGAGCTGAGTTGTCAATCACACCTACAGACCGAGCGCTCTAATTTGACAACTCACCTTTGAAAATCAAACGAACGGTGCACGTCTGATAGCATTGACCAAGGCACATTAAACAGGTAGTATCAGTAGAGCAAAAACAACATTTGCGTGTATTTTGTTGTTGCTTCTGGTATCGAAAGTGTCAAAAACTGTTCTGAATTGTTTCTTCTAAATCAAAGCGTGCCATGTGAAATACAAAAAATTATAAAAAATAAAAAATTGAAATCGGAAAAAATAAAAATTGATGCAACTTTCTTTCCTAGTAAATTTGTTTGCTTCTCGAAGCATTGATCCATCCTTTACAAGGGCCAGTAATCAGCGGTTGTGCTGCTGAGTTGGGCGAACGTTCCAAAAGCTGCTATTCAATCGCTTGTTTTGTATGGAAAAAGGTTTCACATGGAAATGGATTTTAACAATTCAGAATTTTTGTGAGAAAAAATTAAAAATATTTGACATTTTCGAGACCAAATAATTTGAAAATAAATCAAATCAGCTGCTCTACTGATACTACCTGTTCAATGTACCTTGGCATTGACTATTAAATAATTTGAGTTTAATTGCTTACGGGTGGTTTTCGAAAAAGTAAAACCTTAGATAACATTCTTCATAAAGTTCGTTGAAAATGCTAAATACATCAAATAATTTGTGTTTAAAATACGGCCATGTATACATATATGTGTGTGTATGTAAAAGATTTTCAGATTTTTGGGAAGTGCATTTAACGAATTTTTAAATATATACTCAAAAATGATATTTTCAATGGATCTTAAGCGAAAATTTCGTAAATTTTTTTTGGAAACTGGGCGTGACGCGCCCACTTTTGTAAAATGTTAGTATCTCGAAAACCACTTCACCAATCTGTACCAAATTAGATATAGACATCACGCCTGACCTTCATTAATACTGTCTTGAAATCGGACAAAAACCACGCCCTCTACACTGAAAATAAAATTTCGTGAAAGTGCTACGAAAAACTTTCGTAGTGTTGGTTTTTGTACAATGTACGAAACTTTCGTTCATAATACGAACACATTTTTCACAACGAAACAAGATTTTACGAACCATTCGTAAATATAACGAAAGGACTTTCGTAAAGACTTTTTTCAGTACAATTTACAAAATTTTTCGTTTATTTTACGAAACACATTTGTAAATTACTGAACAAATCTCTGTACGAATAATTTTGTATATTGTAAGAAGGCATTCGTAATATTTACGTGTGGTTTTAAAATTTACGAAATCTACAATTTTGTATTCGTACAATTTACTTAATACTTTCGTACAAAATACTAATGCAGAAACATGCTTTTTAAATTCATACAACATATTTACGAATATTTTCGTACAATATACTCAATTACCGGCAGTTTAATATTTCATCATAAATTTTATGTACTGCGTGTCATTGCGAAACTACTGGTG